AATCAAAATGCAATGTGTTCAGGCCAGGTATATACAAGAGACTGTGATGACATTTTGGGAAACTAATAAAGGGCAATGCATAAGCACGAGAAAAATGAAGGAAACCCCAGCAGGTGTGTCTCACCTTGCTGGGTGGGTCGATAAATCCACAGACCTGGGAACTAGCAACTAGTCCTAGAAACCAGCTTTGTTTTTGCCACTTTTTCGGAGGCGGAAGTCTGCCCAGGTTTTCATTCACAGGAGCCTTCCAGTCAATAATAAAATCGGTCTTGTTTGCAAGTGTGTCGACATGAACGGGTAACGAGAAAATTCAGAGCCCACAATATGAAAAAAAGAAAGAATACCGGAGTAACACTGTTTCAAGAGTTAAATATAAATAGAAATTAAACGGCGAGTACCTTGGACTTCATGTCCAAGCACAGCAAAAGACAAAAATATGTAAACAGAGAGGTTGAAAAAAAAGAAAATTGCATTCAATTGAAGATATTCAAGAGATATTATTGAAATTAATACTGTATTGTGTTTATATTTATATCCAAAATTAATGCTGCTTCATTTTAAACTGTGAACCCAAACTTAATAACAATTTTTTATGGTCACTTTTGATTGCAACCCTGATAACCTCTGGAAATACATTTACTTGACTTGTTGTCTGGGCGTGGCATGGATTCGTACTGTATAATGCTATTTTTGGAAGTAATATATTAGATTATTTTGGGTTCTTAGCCCTTGCTGGGTGGCAGATTCAGGATATTCTTGAAAAAGTGTGTGCCCATGACCAATGCAACTTGAAATAATTGTTCTTTGTAAGTAAGGCGTAAGATGGGAAAATATCCAATATTTTTCCTAACCCTGTAGAAAATGTTCCTATAAAATAAAAAATAAAATAATCCTCACTGGGTGGCATTTTTCCTGCATTCTTATCCCAGGATTAGCTTTGGAGTTTTTTTTAAACAAGTGGATTCACACTTCCCAAAAAAATGTTTTGATACAGGTGCATTTCAGTGACCTTGGGTCAAACTTGATGCGTCTGTAGGTTGAAAAAATATTGACTGTGGAAAAGAGGCCCTCGCAGTCCAAGGTCAATGAAGGGTTTGACCATATTACAGTGGCCTCCCGCCTAACAGACATCCCGCGTATGGGACTTTTGCCAAACAGACCAGCTCTGCAGGCAGTTTTTCCTCCCAGTACCCAACAGACAAAATTCACCAAACAGACTTCTGTTGGTTTAAAATTAGTGTTGACAATGACAAGTTTTAATTTACAATATCTGTAATTCAATTTGTCTAAAAGACTTTTTGTCTGACAGACTTGTCCAATGCACAAATTGAGTCTGTTAGACTGGGATTGACTGTATACTTTTTTATTGTGGTCAGGGTCTCTGCTAACTTTGCTCTGATTTAACAGCAATTGATATTCAGCAATGAAATTGATCACTGCTGATAATTGAATCAAAGATTCCTATAGCCCTGCAAAAAACCACACAGGCATGCAGAATAAGGAGTATGCTGTCAAAAATATTTCAACAGTAGCATTAAATTTGACATGCTGAAATCAAAGACCACAAATTCTCTGTAAAATCCTCTCTCATTGAATCTTTGTGAGAATCTTGGAAGACCTTGGTTCTCATGTTTCTTTTGGAAGCCTTCAAGGCTGTATTTTATTATCAGAATCCTGTTGCTGTTTTTTGTACTTGGAGGACAGTTTTTCCTGTTTTCCAAAATTTGCAAAAACATTCATTCCAATTTGAGCATTTGTGTGTGTGTTCTTCTGTTGTCAATTCTTGCAAAAATCAAGACCTTTTTGAACTTGTGTGAAAAAACCAAAGTACAACAACTTAAAAATAGGGTGAATCTTCACCCCGGTCGCAGTCCAACCAAATTCCCATTTTTTATTTCAAAAAACCTTGCGTTTCATTATAAGGTTAACCTGCATATTTATTTTTTGAGGAATTATTCCTCACATATGCCTGCCATACATATCTGTATCCCATTGGTCTTGGGGAGGGGGGGGTATGGGTGATCCACCTTGTTTGCCATCTTGCACTAGTATGGTTTATCTGAGAGCATAGGGTTTTTGGTGCACAGTCTTGCCATACCATCCCTATAGTGCTGTCTGCATACCATTCAGTATTCCTAAATTATTATGGAATGAGCAAAACACTAAAAAAATAATAGTGGGTGTATACAGCAAATTCCGAGAGAAATTACTTATTGTTCTGCACCATTTGAAGTTTTTCTTCTTTTGGTATTTATCCTAATTCTACTTTCCTGAATGAGTTGGTTTCATATAATTTGTTGATGCATTAGCTGTTCTTTGTTCATAAACTTTCTTTGTCTTTTGGAATATTCTTGAACACTTAGTTCTGTATAGTTTTCTTCAGGACTGAAGTATGCATGAAAGAAGCATTTTTGTGAGGGAAAACTGTTTCATCTGCACAAAAGGGCAAAAAAGATAAAGTTTGTTTTGAAGATTTTGAAGGAACTTGAATTCTTTTAAAGCCGGAAGGATTTCAAGAAAGAACGCTTGCAATTAGCAAAAATGAAAACACAATTAATCAGCCAGGCTGCAGCCGGGACTTTTGTCCTAGTATAAACTGGTATATTATTGGCACTGAGAAAGCAGGAAGAACCATCAGTCAAAGTACATTTTTGCAAGAAGTTCAACAATTTGTTGCAACCAATTTTGGAATTGGTGATTTTGCACAAGAGTCAATTCTCCAGAGATCTAACTGGGTTTGCAGCAAAATGCAGAGTGACAAACTTGTGATTTCTAGTTAACCACAACAACTTTCTGGAGTAGAAATGAAGGCCAGATTTTGGCCACTTTCGTTCTTCCCTTTTTTAGCAGTGAGGAAATGTCCTTGGGTGAGCCTGGGAACCAAACCTGGGTTCGGTTCTCAGGCTCACAAAAAAAATGCGGTGAGAGATTAACAACTAATTTTGTCTGGTGCCTTAAATCGTTGCAAGAATTACTTGAAGTTTGAATTTTTTCCTGACAACTTCAGCAGTAGGGACATGTGCTTTGTTCCCAAATGTTTTCCCTTTTTTTGGAAAATTTAATTGAATTTGCATCGAATTTACTTTAAAAATTACAAACTCAGTGCAGCACTTACCAGCTTATTTGAATCAGGAAGTAACAACATAGGTATTGAACTGAAATGGGAATATGCAGCTTTACAAGATATATTTGGTTATTTGTCTCTCACAATCTTTGACAAATTTTTGTGCTGAAATCAACTAACTTTCAGTTGTGCTCATCAGCTTTATGAAGGGTAATCAACTATGCTAAATGGTTTCACATTTCCGCATTATTCCCTGGAATCTGAAGAAAGAAACAATTGGGAGGATTAACTGGTTGAACTATGCTTATTTATGTTGTTGCTCAAACTGGTGTAACTTTTTGTGGAACCCATGCTCATCATCACCCCTGCTGTGTTCTCGCCTGACTCTGTTCATGCCCACAGAGCAGATTTCCGCACCACCACAGCAATTAGCCAAGTGCCACACAGCCATAAAAAGGATCATATTCTTCTCTCCCACCCAAACTTTTCCTGTGTCCATGGAATGGATAAAAGTTAATCACAGCAGAACTCATTTCATGGGCCATAAACCCAGAGCAGGGGTGAAAGAGAAATATAGACCCCCAGACTCTCTGAATGGTGCAAGGGACTTTGCCAGCATCAATGTTCTGCCAGGGGAGACACTATGCAGGCGTTTGATGCAGCATGGGTCTGGTTCTGCTTATACTTTGGCTGAATCCACTATATCAACTGTTTACCCTTAAAGCTCAAAAGGTCAGGGGTGTACTGTACTGTGCTGTACTTGCAGCAACAAGATTCCATCTCTTCCTCCACCAGCAGAGGTGCTTTCACCAGAATTATCCTTGAATAATGTCAGGAAAAATTCTTTTCATGGGAAATATCCTGAAAATGTGCATTTTCCAGGCATTTTCTGCATCAGTGATTCAACTTTAGAGACTGCCATTCTCTGGAGATGTCAATTTTTTTGAGAATACAAGAATTTTTTTCATAATGAAACAAATGTAGTCATGGATGAGCTTTGCTTTGATTGATTGATCAGCAAGCTTTGTTTTCAGATTTTCACCATTCACAATTGGTTTAATCAATATGTTCCCAGCACATCCAGACCCCAACCCCTCAACACCCACATTCATCCAAACACTTTCATCACACCAGGATAGAAAAACAGAGAAATAAGTTGAACATGGATATTAAAACAGAAGAAAATACAAGAGAAGACAGAGCTTTGTGATAGGAAAAATATTTGAAGTGTGAGATACAGTACATGATTTCTTCAAGTTAAAAAAAAGTTCAACCTGCACAGAGACACTCACCAAATCACTGTAATAAACCCAACAACTTGTATGTTTTCCATATTATTTACATGAAACTGTAAATTGGAAATTGACTATAGATAACAAACGAAAGTAACACTGACACCTTATTGATGAGCCATGAAATTCTGAAAATTCCCAACTCAAACAAAAAAATTGAAAATTAAAGCATTTTGCTCAAAACGTTCTTATGTGAAATGATTTCAATCCTTATTGCCTTCAAATGAATGAAAAATAGCATTAAATGGTGTTCTGTGAGGCATAGACCCACTTTTAAAAGCAAGTGCATGCCTCACATGTTGGTTAATTTTATAAAAAGCCAAAAATGAGCACACACAAAAATTATTCAAATAGCAGATGAAGTCTCAAATTTTAAACCTTCTTGTAATCCGTATGCAGTTTCTGTGCCATTATAAATGTTCTAAATATATGGGTAAAAATTAAAATCCCACACAACCAATTACAAGCCCTAAAATGTAGCAATTTTCCTTGATCATTTATGTTAAGCAGTTTCTATTGCCCCATTGTCAGGGTTCTTGGATCCCATATTTTTTCTCTATTAACTTAGTCATCTTAGTGCTTAAGTAGGTACTGTATTTTTCTGGTGAAATTAAACTTTCATAGGATTTACAATGGAAAATAATAAACCCCCTCAGCCTTTATTATATATGCAGTACTTTGATTCTCATTTTCACACAAATCTCAAGATTTTGTTGACATATGATTCAGGTAATCAGGAATGAAGTGAAAAAATGCCTCAATTGTATACCAAATTTTCCTGGTCAAATGGCCATTATTGAACTTTGCACAGAATAAATATTTTTTTAGTTTTTTTTTTCAGAAGTATATATCCACTCATATTGTACTATACATGTGGCAAATAACTTCATGTCAATATTGCTAAAAAATCCAAAATATTTTGGCGCATTTGTGAAGAGGGTAAAATAACTGTGATGAAGCTCAAATGGATGAATGGCGTGTCTGTTGCCCAAAGTAGTCCATGACTAATTAATCGCTTTCCACGATATATAGTTATTTTCACCCCTTCCTTCATCCGGAAAAACACGCTGACATTTCCACAGTGTCATTTTATCGCGTGATGATGGCATCAGCAGTTGACTATAATTGATGTCGGCCATTTTTAGTTACTCAGAGACACGCTGTTTTAATTCGGAGAAGCATCCATTTCATCATCCCTATATTCTCTTATTGTAATATACCTAAATGTGATGCGATGATCCTTTTTCTAATTTTTTTCTCTCAAGAGGATCTCCTTGATATGGAGCTGGAATTTCTGGTGGTGATCCTTCAGAGGAATGATGGAGGGGGATCTTTACCCCCAGGGGGGATCCGTGAAGCCGTTTACTTCATAAACTAGTTGCAAAAAAATGTTGGAGGGAGAAAATTTGAGTGCATTTGATATCTTGGTCGAGTTCCACGCACACCTGGGTCTCTGAAAATGTGTTTACCATGAGATGGATGGGTTCCATTGATTGATTGATTGCTCATTTTGAGGTTGTTCTTGTTTTTTTTTTCTTGTTCAGATGCGAGTCTGGTGAATGTGAGCGTGTTGCTGTTGAGTCTGTCGTCACCGGACGAATCCAGTTTGGTGAGTTTACTTTTGTGGGAAATGAACTTGAATGAAGTTTTCATCAGTATTCAAGGAGTGATGCTGTTGGTTATCCATATACAGGGTTTCCACAAAAAAATCTTTGTGTTATTTCTTGGCAATACAGCCTTTTCATTATTTAATGATTTTCATAAATGAAAGCAAAATTTCCATTAATGATTTTGGGAACAAACTTGCTCATTACTATAATTTTAAGGGAAACAATTAGAAAAATAATGTCTTCTTGATAAATGAACCTTCAAAATCTGTTGAATGTTATTCTATGTTGAGATTTGTATCACGATGGGTCTTTTTAGTTTTTGCTGGTATTTTCTATAAGAACTTCATCACGCTGAATATATTGTCATAACGTTGGAAAAGTTAACTTTTTTTCCATTTTTTGAATTTTGCCGGTGTGACCAGCAAAATATTGCAGTTCACTATACTCACAAATGACACCTCAAATTTTCCCCGGAGTTTTTTCGGGACTCGGGAATAAGTTTTCCCTTCAACATGAATGCAACTTTATTCGCAGAATAGAAAATAATTATAGTAGATTAAAAAATTAATCTAAAAAACCACGTTTAAAAAAAAAAAAAAATATTCCGCCAATTCCAGGTCAAAATATTTCCTTTCTCCTACGTCACCCGTCAAATGAACCCAGCAGCTAGAGGGAAAACCCGGCGATGACGTAAACCATTCCAAATAATGTATACCCATAATCTGCACTCATTAATTATTCCTCAAAATGAACCCATATATATACAGCACAACAGCACCCGGAGATTACAGGGACACCCTGACATTTGGGCTATTCGACTTCCAAACACTTTAAACTTTTAAAAATTCGCCCAAACATCTGGACAATGTCTGGAGATACAGAAACTGAGAAATTTTGTGCTGCAGAAGAAAACCACACATTATCTGTCTTTTGCATGGATAGGTACCCATCAGAAAGCAAAGAATTAGGAGCAAAAAGTCTTGCTAAACTTTGATGCATAGATGAAGAAACATTCTCTGCAAAAAAGTATGATACTTTAGCTAGTTTTGCATAATGAAATATAGTGAATTTACAATAATTTTTATCTTTGCAAATATAGAAAGCTGAATTTACTCAAGAATTCCATAACTATGAATGAATGACCCGAACATTTCATTTGCTGCTTTTCAGCATTCACAAGGTTCAATCAAGATTTCCAGCACAACCAAACCCCCTTCCCACCCAACCCAAATCGACTCAATTACATTTAATCACTTCAGAGCAGGAGAGCACAAATTGATTTAAAAAAATAAAAAAATACAATACAACATGAAATACAANGACTCAATTACATTTAATCACTTCAGAGCAGGAGAGCACAAATTGATTTAAAAAAATAAAAAAATACAATACAACATGAAATACAACTGGACATCTGACATGTATGCACACATTCATTCCCTCACATTGGAAACAAAATATTTGTAAAAATAAATTTAAAGCACATACAATAGGTCTTCAGCTTGTTTCTGTATGAGGTTTAGTTGAATGAACAAATGAGAGAGAATCTTTGATGAGAAATCATATGAGGCCAACAGTTTATCTTTTGATCCCCCAAGATTTCAGAAAGGGTCCCTTCATTGGATTCCAATACAGTACTTGTAAATCTTTCTTAAGCTTGTTTCTATCAGTATTAAATGCTGGACATAAGAAAAGAAGGTCTTACCATAACTAAGAAAAAAATCTTTCTCCCATATCTCTACAGTAGAATCTTGTTACAACAAGTCTCATTAAAACAAATAATTGATTATATTAAAAAGTCATTTTTAGGTCCCTTCCCAAAAGCCCAAAATTGTAAATGTGTTCCAGAAAATAGTTAGGCATTGCAAAATGCGCGGCAAATGTGTTTCATACCAAATTTGCCACTCATTTCATGCTGTTTTGCATTATGCCTACACTTGGAACGTTTATTGGTGTGTATCATTCAGGTATTTCAAAATGCCTTCTTGTTATCTGTCTTTTTATTCAGGCATAACTTAAGTTACGCCTGAATAGGATTGATTTTAACCCTTGGCCGGCAAAGCCGGATTATTTTTGCAAAATTTTGTTGCAGCTCAGGGAAAGAAATAAAAAAGGACATCAGGGATTTGAGGACAAAGTTGGAAAAATCCCAATGTCTGTTTTCTTTTTGCAAAGAAAAATTTTGTGGGAAAATGAAAAAAACGCTATGCTATAAGCAATGGGCTTTTCTTGGATTAATCCCAACTTTACCTCAGCCTACCTACTGGAAGGTCTTTTCTGACTTTCAGAAAACTTGAAACACTCCAGTATACAAAAATAATCCAATTTTGGCTGGCAATGAGAAAGAACCCTCCACTGTCCAATGGTTAATTCTGAAAGGCTTTAGTTACGCTTTTTAATAAAAAATTTGTCACGTTCAACATTTGTTGCCATTTTTTATATTGTCACCATGTTTTCAAAGTGTCACTGGGATTTTTTTGCTGTAATTTTTGATATTGTTGCCATGTTTTTTATGTTGGTGCTGTTTTTTTTTAGATTGTCACTGTATTTTTTTTTCAATTGTTGCAGTGCTTCTTTTATATATATTGTTGCCGTAATTTTTTTATATTTTTGCCAGATATCTTTCCTTATGACAAATTTTTTGATGAAAGGAAGCTTCATTTTACTGGTCCCAAGTGCTTCGTTGTAACGAGATTTTAGTATTACTGATTTAAAAAAAAATGTTGCATCTCCAGACATTTTCCCAGATGTCAGGACAGATTTTTTCGAGTTCCAAGTGTCCCCAAGTCAAATCGTCCGCATTTCGACGCGTCCGTAATTCGAGGCTCCACTTTAATCAATCGGGAACAACACAGTTTTAACTTTTTTTTTTAGTAAGAATGAAACCCGGTTTTTTTTTCAGCAGAAGCATTCGGAAATTGTGAAGTATTCTCGTCTGATGCTCCCTCTTTCGTGCTCTGCAGCCATTCCATGTATAAACATACGGAACGCATTTCACTTGCTTCCGCCTTTTCTGTTTGCCCAACGAAAATTGCAATTTCACCACATGTACAATGTCCTGCGTATATGTACACACACACAAGAGGGGGCTGCTTCACTTGTGTTGCCAGAATAACGAATGGCTTTTATGCAACCCGGGCACGAACCAGGGGGTTGTTTGATAGTGAGACTTGAAGCCCAAGTTGGGTGCTGCTGCTGCTGCTGCTGCTGGGGGATGACAAAAATTCATCACTTACCCCTTTTTTTTATTGCTGGAGGCCTCTTGTCTCATCCCTTGTTCAATTCATGAAGAAATAAGGATGATGACGTTGTCTGCTAACTTTGTCTGTGCCTATATATGGTAGGAGAAAGCGAGATATTAAAGCATTCATGGGGTAGTAATCTGGAAATGTTGAGCGGAATTGAGAATATATTATGGCACTTGGGCAATGGCTGGAAAATATAGTGGATATAGGAGGGTTTGAACAAAAGTTATCATTCAAAAACATTTGTCAAACAGGGCTGATATTTTTTTGTGTGCCAAAGAATATGTTTTCCCTAAAGAAAAAAATATTTCCAGCTCAATTGTAGGCCGTTTTCATTGCTACTCCAAGAACTTTTGTTAGAACCCTTGTATGGCCCAGAATATTTTGGACTGAATTTGGAATGACAATATGTATATTTTAAGGAGGAGATGAATGATTCCTCAGCATAAAAATGAAAGGAAAAGGAAAATAAAGTTTATATTTTGGGCAACTGTGCTGTGTTTTGTTCATTTAGGTGAAATTAAATTCAATTTTTAACCCTTTTGCAGCAATGTTTGACATTTTTTGCCAAATTTTGGGTGCACTCATGAACAACAGTCAACCCTTAGATGGCAAAGGGTTCATTTTCATTGCGCAGTGGAGTCAGGATTTTTTTTGTGGGGCATAAATTTCAGTTATTTGGCCCATCTATGGTCACTGAAATCCTCCCAGGTTGAGATGGCCTAAGTTGCAAATAATCCAGGAGGCAAATTTTGTATTGTTTTCAGGAATCTCCCATCCAAATCCTAAGCCAGGAATGCAGGAAAAAATGTCATCCAGTGAGGGATTTTTTAGATTTTTTATTTAAAATGTTCTGCAGGATCACAAAAAATATTGGATTTTTTCCAACTTTATTGGTGGTAGTACAACGGTAGAATTTTTAGAATTGCCAGTGCTCAGTGGCACAACATTTTGCAAAAATATCCCACCTTTGCTGCACAAGGTTTAAAAGAACCATGACAGTGTGCGTAATTGGGCAAAGTTGGGAAAAACCTGGTATTTTTAAAATTTCTTGCAGAAAAATGTACTCAGAAATTAAAAATTACATCTTTAAGGCTTAATTTTTTACCCTGGTCTTGTATTGTTCCCCCATTCAAAGATTAAATTTAAGCTTGAAAGCCATGCTAGAGCCCAGGTTAGAGGTCACTATACAGAAAAAGCCCTACTCAGACTTCTGCAGCATTTCTTTATCCCCAGGTAAAATCTGATTTCATTCTTCCCCACCTGGCAGGGGTTGCATCACCTTGGGTAAAAATGAAATACTGGCCCAACCACAAAGAATTCCAACTTTGCCCTGGGCTGAACAGGAGGCTGCTGCTGTCCAATGGTTAAAACTTAAATTCTGGGAAAACTGGAGGAGCTCATCCTCTCCTCAAAGTTGAACTACCTATCAAATGCATTTATGCATTATAATCAATCCTATCTATAGGCGTAACTTGAGTTATGCCTGGATAAATATCTAGCTGTAACTAGATGGCGTTTCAAAAGGCCTATAAGATATGCATTAAATAAAATCCTGAGTAGGTGTAACATAGAGAGGTACAAAACGCAAGGCATTTTTGGCTAGAAACGCATTTAAAACACGTTTCAAAATGCACAAATTATTTGCTGGGGATAGCTGTGTTTCATTCTTCTTGTTCTTCTTTACTAAAATATTCAGTGTTCTTTCAAATCATATGTTGAGGAGAACTTTTGTCTCCAACATTATAACAGAATCTCCATAATAAACTATTGGATGAAATCAAATCAAATTTTCATTACATCCTACATTAAAGTTTTGGTCAGCAATTTTCTATGAAATTTTCTATGAATGAAAGTATTCTGTGCCTATAATGAATATTTTGTTCAAACAGCACACAAACATATCTCTCTGCTTGGGTTACTTTAAACCACACAAATGGAATTTTAAACGTTCAATTTTGCGTTTTGAAATGTTTGGCAGCAGCTTAAATTACATCAACAGTCATAGAAATTACTGAAGTCAAAGAATTACATCAAAATTGATGAAAATTACATCAAAATTGATGAAAATTACACCAAAATTGATGAAAATTACGTCAAAGCATTACCTTAAAGTTCTTTTGCAAAACTTGCAAAGGCTGAGAATAAATCTTTGAATTCAGACAATCAAAAACAATGTAATGCGCGATTTTGAAAAAAGTGGGTTTACATGAAAGTAGTGTTAGAATCTTAGAAGCGTTTTGTATGTGGAATATTCCAAGTGAGTTACAGAATTTGTACAAAAAGATTTCTAATGTTTACGATTCTTGTGCCAAGTGAAGGTAAATATTTTCAGCATCGCATTTAAAATTGTCAATAATCAAGGTTAATTCTTGCGGCAGTTTTTACACTTCTGGTCTTTCCTAAAGATGTCACTCTCAACTTCAGGGATGGGTCTTGAATAAGTAAAGCAAGGGAATTTAGCAGCAATCAAATGGGCTTTTTCCAGCACTTATTCTTGAAAACCTCTACTTCGGAGGCGCAACTCCCCACTTCACCGAGCTGACTTCTCCTCCACATATTGCTTTCACTATACAGTAATTTCATTTGTCGTAAAAGCAAGGAAGCTTGAAATCACCTTCAAGCTATTATTCTCTACTATATATCGCCACGAGAAGACTTGAGACATGACGATTACTGTAAATGATTATTCTGAGATGACCTGAAGAGAGCTATTAATGAAGAGAGACTTGATGCAGGTGAAATGGACAGTGCTGAGGCTTAAGTAAATAAAGCTTATGGATCATTGTATAAAGCTGATGCAAAAAGTCTCTAATGTTTAGAGTGCACTTACTCTTGATTTGATAGAAATTGACCACGAAAGGTCTATTTTGTACCATATGTTCAAAACATGGAAAAAGGAACGATGGGGTGGAAAGAAACATAAATTTTCAAGAAATAAACAGATTCCCAACATTTTTTTCAATATTTTCCTGAAAAATATCCCATTGGAACATGCAGTAGTCTGCCTTATTCAGGGAAAAAGTTATGGAACATATTTTTTCATCTCCTCTTCCTGGTAAATGAACTCTTCCTATAATACCTGTAAAACATGCTGTTGAAAATTGTGAACCAAATAAAACGTGGTTTCATGTGCTTTCCTGTGTTTTAAATTTCACATTCATTCGGAAATTTAAGCTGTTTAAAGTTGAGATACTTTGCAAGATCAAGAAATTGAGAAATTTTGGTTTGAGACTATATAAGGCAGCTTTCTCAGTTATCAATGTTTTATTTGGCTAATCTTCACCATGGCTCTTTTTTTTTAGCCCATGCTTTGATTCTGATTTTAATACTCTCATTAGCGCAGGAAATTATGTCTTTCAACTGACTTTGGGATTTTAAAATTATCCTGCATTTAAAGTAATTTATTATATGTGGTTTTTGAATCATTTTGTAAATTAGCAAATCAATGGAAATAATTCAATTTACTTTTCAATTAGTGTCAGTCATTATTCATTTAGGACTTTTTATGTGAACTTGCCTGTTTTAATCAGTGAGATTGATGTTTCTTGGAGGGGAAAAATGGGATGGTCTCCTCTCATTTCCTTTATTTTTTTCTTCTTGTCTTATTGATAGAAATATGAGGTGGAGTTCCTACTGCATTTGTTCTGGATGGACACCAGACTGGCCCACAATGAGACCACAGGTCACAAGTACCTGAATGGAATTCACCACCAGCAGCATGTCTGGCTTCCAGACATTTACTTCCTGAAGCATGGCGACTTCAAGCACCCTACAGAACCTGTCCACATTGCTCTAAGGATCTATGGGAATGGCACCATACACTACACTGCCAGGTGTGTGTTCCCTTTCTATAGTGCTCAGCAAGAGGCCTGAAGATAAATTGAAGATGTCATTCATAGCTCCATTAATTGAAAAACTTGCCCTTTTCCAATATTTCCAGGATGAGTTTTGAAACTGAGCATAAGAAAAATACTTCTTCTCACCCCCACCTGTGAGGAAAAATGTGGATCTTTCATGCTTTTTTCATCAAGGTTTTGTCTTGATGCCCAATGGGTAGTTTCTATTATCAATGTTCCAGTGCCTGCATACATTGTTTGCTGGTCTGCAGGAAATGTTTTTCAGCATAATACATTTATCATAAGTAGCCATGAAGTCTGTCATTTCTTTTTGAAATTTCAGAAGGCAATGACATTTGAAATTATGTTATGAAAAAGAAAACTTGGCTTTCCTCCTATAATAAGGCTTCAGAAAAACTGTCCCCTCTGGAAATAAGGTGTGCTGATTTTTTATACATGTTTTCCTCCACCTGTGGCAAACAATGCGCATTTTTTTCTGTCTCAAGGTTCTGCCTTGATGCCCTTTGGGAAGCATGAATGTTTCATTCATTTGGAAAAAGCTACAGGGGGGGGGGGTAAAAGAAGACCTTTTTTTTCTGGAAGCAAATAGCTCTTGTAATAAAAGTCTCATGGTGAATTATACATTTTTCTCAAGCTTTCTCCAGCAACAGGAAGCCTGAAAGAAAGGACTGGGGCTGATTTGCATAATTTATTACATGCTTTGCAAGAAAAAGGGGGTCTTCCAGTATTTTGACTGCTTCCTTTGATTATAAAAATTTAAAATAATCCATTCAGGCTTAAATTTTGAAATAGTGTTCTTCCATTATTGGACCTCATCAAAGTACCTCATGCGCTGTTTTTTTCATCTAAAGCCAGAAGCATTGATCTGTTTTGCTTGAAATGCTTTTCCTTCTGTAGCCAGTAAATATTTTGACGCCTACATAGAAAAAATGTATAACTACTTTACCTATCTGCATTTTTTACATTGTCCTTACAGCTCTGCCAAGAAAAAGGGAAATTTTCAAGGAAGCAGTTGTGATCAAGTATGAAATAACAATCAACAATAATTTCAAGAAACCATGCTGGAAATTGTGAAGTCTCCTCCTAATGCTCTGAAAAGTATTCTTGTATTCTTTGACTGGCATAGAAGCTCCTTGTTGTAAGAACCTTACTCCTTTTAAAGGGGGACTCCTTTAATGTCATGAAACTAAAAGAGACCAGAGAGTTCATGAAGAGACCCGTCAAGTACACAAGTGTTTTATGAACACTTATGAGGTGTTACGTATTCAATAATACATAATGCTTCATTTGAATCAGGGAATTGAGGGACATCCATGCTGTGAAATGGTCTGAGAAAATTAAAACAAAAATGTTGGTGGTTGGTACAGGTTCACTTTCTCTACAACAATCTTGTGTACCATACTGTTCCCCAACCCATAGTCCATAATGGACTAGTGCAGGTCTGCAAAATCTTTTTCCCAGTCTGCAAGAAAATTTTCTAGATAATAAATTCATCAGAAGTAGCAATGAAGTCTGTTATCTTTATCTGAATTTTTGAAAAGACAATATGGCACTTGAAAATGTCTGATCAAAATTGATAGTGGACTTTTCTCCAATAATAATGCTCAAGACAAAACTTCAGCTGCTAAAAGAAGTTATTTTAATCTTCCATTCTGATGAATGATTTTCTTCAAGCCCATTGTTTTAATATTTTGAAGAAATTCCATGTACTTTAGCTGCTTCATTGGTCCTTGATTCAATTTTTGCAAAAGAGCAGAAACATTTCAATCAACTGCCATTAAATCTTTCAGACAAAGCGTTTTTGAATCTTCAAAAATGTTATTATAAGCTCTTACTGGTCTGCAGAAATGTATTTGGAAATTTGCTGGTCTGTGGGCCCAAAAAGGTTGGGGAACCCTGCCTACAATAAGTTCCTCTGTGTGAAATTTTTTGTGTCCCATTGAATTGAGGTATCTCCCTATTTTATATATAAAATGGGGAAAATCTGTTCTCTAAAATCAAAGTCTCTCTAAAACAACTATTTTTTAGTCCCTTGAATTTAGTTGTGCAGAAAGTCCACATGTATTCTCTTACACATCAGTGCCAACCTTATGTTCACTTATCTCTTTCATCCACAGCAACAACAAAAAAAAGCTCTTTAAAGGAAATACTGGGTACCTCAGGCTTTGTGCCTCCACGCATTCTTCACTACACTTTCCCAGCAGGCAGGAAACTTATTCTCTCTCGTCCTTCCTGGTGTTGGCAACAAAAGGAATTGTAGGAATAAATTGGCTCCATGTCAGGCACAATAAAAGGAAAGAAGAGCCAGCAAGTTTCCTCAATTGTGGCTCGACTCGAGTGATAAAAAGTATGGTAAAGGAGTAAACCGTTGATACCTCCACACCAGCAGCAGCCGCTGAAGGCTAAGGACGATCAACAGTACCTCTGTTTGCCGTGTCTTCTTATTCCGTTTCTTTTACTGTCACTTTACGTGCAAATGCATGCGCCTGAATAATAAGGAAATCAATTTTTCATTCCTCGGGAAATACCTTCATTGATGCTATCTGTTCATTTTCCTTCAGCTTGAGGCAAACGACTGTCGGAGAATAATTATTCGTGGAAAATAGGCCAACTTTAAAGTTTCCAAGTCGTCAATAATGAGCGACCTGAGGAAATATTACCGTATTAACTAGACTTATTGGACCAAGTTCTTTCTCACAAATTGCGCGGAAAACTTTGGGGAAGCATGAATCTACTTGGAGTTATTCGAGGATCGGCCGCAGTCAGCGGAAAGTGCGGCCTATTAATTTATTTGTGAATAAATATAGGCCTAGCCTTCAAAAATTCTAGCGGAGATGAAGAAATTGTGACGTAAGGCAAGGGGACAGGCGATTTCAAATTTGTTATCCTTGTATTTCGAAAATTTTGAAAACGCTCAAGGTGTAATGAAACTATATACTGTTTGATCTATATACTGCTTTTCCTGTGGCAACAATTACGCCAATAATTGCATCAATAAATCAAAGAAAGTATTGAATGATTTAAAAAATCCCTCATCTAATTTAAATACTCTCCAATTTGTTAAATTCTCTCCAATAACAAGTTAGTTAACTTTGAATAGACCCTTGTCCGACTTTTATAACACGAGGAAAATTAACCCTAGTCATTAACGGAATAATACGGTGTTTAAAGTCATAATTATAAAACAAAAACAATAGTCCCTGGGGTAGAAGATGTATATACAGTATTTATGTCAGTTGTGCAATTTGAAAATTTGCAATGTATTTTCTTTTAATATCCATATACAGCTTATTTCTCTATTTTCCATTCTCATGTGATGGATTGTTTGGATGAATTTGGGTGAGGAGGGGAGGGGGTTTGTGTGTGGGAACATTGCTTGAACCTTGAGAATTGTTGGGGACTCGAGACACATATTAAAATAATGAATAAATCAGATAAATTCAATGCAGAAAAATACTAAATTGATAGAGTGGAAAAACCACCCAAGAAGAAGAAACCGCCAGAGACATCCATTAACAAACTTTTACCCTCTCCAAAAATTTCAAAAAACTGGTGCCAAGACATCTTTGACTCAACTTTGTCAAGCCAATCAGACGCCTTGGCGCCAACCCCCATCCTTAATCCACGTCCTGGATCAAGGAGAAATCACAAAATCAATAAAAGCTCAAAATCAACCCTTTATCACCACCAGTTATTGAAAGTTGTTGCTTGGAGCATCTTCACGTGTACAGAGTTTTGCTGAGAGGAAATTTTCTATCTAAATACTTCTTCGAACTTTCTTGTGTATTTTGGGACTTGTTTGAAAATCACTGAAATATATTTTATCTCTTTTTCTTCTGGAGTCTTACTGGAGATTCCCTGCCTTGTCCCGGGCGGATTCCGCATTTTTAATCCTCCTCTATTTGTTCTAAATCTCTAATCTTTCTCGCCTCAAATTTGTGTTGAGATATTTTCTTAATTGAATCCTCAACAAGAATGCTGAAAAGCTGAAATAAAGCTTGCTATTCAATTCAATTCAATTAGAATAATTTAAATAGCCCTCCAACAGAAGCCCCATATACAGAGGCTTGATGCTATAATAACAGTTTTTTTTCCAAGCTCCAATGCAGAATTATTTCTGGTTTTCCCCTGAAAATTATCAATACTTGTCAAATTTCCCATACTATTAGATGAACTTGCTCTCTCAATTTTCTCTCTGATGGTTTTGTGGAAAGATGAAATAAATCAATATACGCTGCTGACAGCAGTCAAAAATTGTATTTGACATAAAATAAATGTATTTTAATTAAAAACTTATTATTACAATTTTCACCTGAAAAACTTGGCATCTTTCCTTGTGAAACACTTTCATCTGCTGAATTTCATTAAAAATGCAAGCGGGCTCTCTCTTTTTCTCTGCAGTGAAATTATCTTCAAGATGAATTTTCTGGTCCCTCAAATTTTGTTGTAGAGATAAGCTACCTGTATTTTAGCCAAAAAGAGGTGGAGAGAATTTCATTGCATATGACCCCAGTACAGGTGGTGCCTTGCAATTTGACCTCCTGCAATTCAATTGCCCCACAATTTGATGGTCAAATTTGCAGGGAGGTTGACTTTAAATTCAACCCTTGACCAAGAATTTGACTGACTTTGGCCCATTTTTTGTAATTTTTGTATGAATATTTTTTATTTTCACAAAGTGTCTTGCAATTCAACCCCAGCTAGTTTGGCAGCCAATTCGGATCAATTTGCAAGGTACCACCTGTTATATGTAGAGACAGTCTTTCAATGGGCATTCAGAAATTTTGTCATAAAGAGAAAACTGTTGTCGCGGACCGAAGCGATGCAGCTCCAGCATCCGGCCAAAACCGGACCCAAAACTTGTTGGATTTCCGAGGCCAGTGAGCCTCGCAAAAATCCCGTTTTTGCAAGACTCACTGAGCCTCACTCAAGGACAAGAAGTGGTTTTCAC